TAATTCCTTGCCGGCACGCAAAGAATCCTCGACTTATTAACCGCCACACAAGATTCCGAGCCACCCTCGTTTCGACCACCGGACTTCTTCACAAACTGAAACTCGTCCATTGACGGCTGCCTCTGGCGGGCCGCGATCCTCTGCTTTGCCCTAGTCGCCTCCGTCAAGCTCATGTAGTTCGGCCTGCTCGTGTTGCTGTCCTCCGTTTTATCCGAGTAAGTGTTCGTGAAAAACGAGGATGAGAAATCCGAACTCGGGCTCGAGGATGAGTGAGTGGCATGATGAGAACTGATAATAAATGGAGGAGGATTTACATATATTTTCTTGGTGATGATGTTTTTAGTTACTTTAACCAAATTCGGTTCGTGCAAAGTCGATAAACTCGATTGGGCTAAGGATTTGCTGATATTATCGTTATTTTGAGCCATTAGTCGATTTTCCCAAGGCTTCGCAACCATCCACCTTTCGAGCCAGCTCCAATTGTTCTTGTCAAATCCATTAATGTTTTTCAATGTGGGACTCTGGCTTGATTTCCACTGCAAACCCTCAAGGTTTAGCATAATTACATAATAAAAGTAATTAAATTTTGCAAAAATTAGAAGTGCAAAAGAGCAATTAATTACCTTGTGAACTAGAGAGTATGCAAGTGCCCTCTCTCTCTTGAAAGCTCCCTCTTTCCTCATTTGTATCTTAGACTTGACTTCTTCAAGTGTTCCTCTACTATCACACCACCCTTCCTAAAAATTAACATATATGACAAACCAAAACACATTCACAATCAAATGAATTGAAGAAAAAAAAAAAGGAAGATAATTTAATGATTTTTCGATAAAAAACCTCAGCTTGTTTCAATGAAAAATCTATGCCATGACGTTCGTCGAGCAACTTCTGAACGGCTTGTCCTTCTTCAGACATACGAACACGACGGGCCCTTATTCGGGCCTGCACGCGAACAAGAGCTTGCATGCACCTAAGAGTTACAGCAGCTTGTTTTCGAACCTGTCGGCCACGGAATATGGCTTGGAGCCTAACTAATCCTTTCAATGCCCTTAAAGCTCTTCTTGCCTAATAATCATCATATCCCCCACCATCAATTTTATTACAAATATTTCTTCTTTTTCTCAAAAGACAAAAGGCAACTCACAAACTTGAGTAGACCAATTAAAGAAAAAAAACATATAATAATAATTTTCTGTGTCACATCATCATTCCAAGTCTCAATTGCAAGAAAGCAACAACAAAAATCAAATCTGAGATAATTTTTTTGTCATTTCTTTTGAACTTTTTTTTCTTCCTCCAAGTGGACAAGGAAAACCCAATACATAATAGAGAATGAGTGTCCTAAACCATACACAATCACATGTAAAAGCATGAAACTTGAGTTAATTAGTAAAAACAAATTGCTTTAATATGGAAAAAAGAAAAAAATAATACACTCACCAAAAATCCTCTGAAAGCAGTTTGAATTCTAATGGCGGCCCACTCTTGTCTTACAGCCCTGAAATCTTTAGGGGGAGCCCTCACAACAGTTGCAACAGCAGCATTAAAAGCATTATTGTTCATAGATGAAGAGTCTGAGGAGAAATCTGAACCGCCCAGTTTCTTGCATCCTTTCCATGATGAGGGCCCACTTAGATCCAACGATGAACTCTTCCAAATCCTCCATTTTTTGCCCTTTCCACCGACTTTTACCTTATGAAAAGCAGAAATTTGCAACAAAAAGTGAAAATGAAGAAAAAACAGGTAGAAAATTAGCAGGGGAACTTGATTTAACAGAGACACATTGGATAGAAGGAAATAAATGCCATGAAAACCATTAAAGATTGTATCTTTAGCTAAAAACTATAGAAAACAACTAAAGCAGAAAGGCAAGAGTTTGAGACAACTGGTAGTCAAAATAAAAAAAACATAGATTCAGCACATAATTTTTTGAAGAAAAATAGGTTGTATGGATTATGCATGTGAGCAAGAAACCAAAAAGAAAAAAGGTAAAAACTCAATCGTTTTCGAACAGTTCCAGTAATATGCTTACCTGGTCACCTTTTCCAGGTTTCTTCATCCCTATCAATGTCTTAATCCATTTGCCTGAAGCCCCCATTTCAGTGAAGACCTTTGAACAACAGAACAAAATCTCCTCTCAACAAAGAGAGAGTAACTTAGGGATGAAAATAAATGGAAATGTGGTATCAAAAGCTGGAAAATAATAAAGAAAAATAATGGAATTGAAAAATGGAAGGAAACTATTTTGTGCTTGTACAAGAGCTGATGAGCAAAGGAGAGAGCCAGAGCTTTGTACAAGAGCTAAAAAAAATAGCTGTTGAGCTAAAAAATAGTG